TTCTGCTTCCTGTGCCTGTCTTTGCCATGCCTGCTGTGGCAATGCCACAATGGCGGCTGATAATGCCCGCCAACCGGTCCGCAAGGTAACCCCATCGACATGGACGGGCTGAGGCAGGGCCGAAGCTTCTCCAGGTTGGGGCTGCTGAGCGTGCTGCTATTGTTTGCGGTATGTACCAACCCACTAACCAACCAAGCAAGCGTTCAACCCTCAACCACCCAGCATGCTTGCTGTGCTTCCGTGCTGTGACAACGCCACAAAGGTGGATGATACGGCCCACCTATGCTGTTCTGTTTTTGTTGTTGCCGCGTCAATGCCACAATGGTGGATGATAAGGCCCGCCAACCAGTTCGCAAGGTAACCCCATCGACATGGACGGGCTGAGGCAGGGCCGAAGCTTCTCCAGGTTGGGGCTGCTGAGCGTGCTGTTGTTTGCGGTATGTACCAACCGACTAACCAACCAAGCAAGCGTTCAACCCTCAACCACCCAGCATGCTTGCTGTGCTTCCGTGCTGTGACAACGCCACAAAGGTGGATGATACGGCCCACCTAATATAAATGTATATATATATATATAAGTATGTATCTATAAGTACATTTATATATAGATACACATGCATATTTACTTATAGATATACAGACATATATAAATATATAACATATGTGTGGTTGTTTTTATACACAGCTTTGATCCCAAAATAGACTATAAATAATCACGTAATTATAGCTATTTGTATGTACATGTTGTATCCCTAAATAACCCCTAACCCAACCCTAAATAGACCCTAAACAAATCCAGACGAAACCATTAAGCCAACCCCAAATAAACCCTAAACCAAACCAGCACCTTGCATGTGAAAATAGGTGTTTCCAATCTGCTTTGCCCTCCCTTCTTTATATTTAAATCCAAACCCGTAAATACATTAGTTGGGGTTGGCACGATGATGTGGTGAACATGATGGTGTGAATGACCATCGTCCGCAACTTGTGTTAACTTCTGCTTCCTGTGCCTGTCTTTGCCATGCCTGCTGTGACAATGCCACAATGGTGGATGATAAGGCCCGCCAACCGGTCCGCAAGGTAACCCCATCGACATGGACGGGCTGAGGCAGGGCCGACGCTTCTCCAGGTTGGGGCTGCTGAGCGTGCTGCTATTGTTTGCGGTATGTACCACCCGACTAACCAACCAAGCAAGCGTTCAACCCTCAACCACCCAGCATGCTTGCTGTGCTTCCGTGCTGTGACAACGCCACAAAGGTGGATGATACGGCCCACCTATGCTGTTCTGTTTTTGTTGTTGCCCGCGACCATGCCACAATGGTGGATGATAAGGCCCGCCAACCAGTTCGCAAGGTAACCCCATCGATATGGACGGGCTGAGGCAGGGCCGAAGCTTCTCCAGGTTGGGGCTGCTGAGCGTGCCGCTATTGTTTGCGGTATGTACCAACCGACTAACCAACCAAGCAAGCGTTCAACCCTCAACCACCCAGCATGCTTGCTGTGCTTCCGTGCTGTGACAACGCCGCAAAGGTGGATGATACGGCCCACCTATGCTGTTCTGTTTTTGTTGTTGCCCGCGACAATGCCACAATGGTGGATGATAAGGCCCGCCAACCAGTTCGCAAGGTAACCCCATCGACATGGACGGGCTGAGGCAGGGCCGAAGCTTCTCCAGGTTGGGGCTGCTGAGCGTGCGGCTATTGTTTGCGGTATGTACCAACCGACTAACCAACCAAGCAAGCGTTCAACCCTCAACCACCCAGCATGCTTGCTGTGCTTCCGTGCTGTGACAACGCCACAAAGGTGGATGATACGGCCCACCTATGCTGTTCTGTTTTTGTTGTTGCCCGCGACAATGCCATAGAGGTGGATGATACGGCCCACCTATGCCGTTCTGTTTTTGTTGTTGCCCGCGACAATGCCACAAAGGTGGATGATACGGCCCACCTATGCTGTTCTGTTTTTGTTGTTGCCCGCGACAATGCCATAGAGGTGGATGATACGGCCCACCTATGCCGTTCTGTTTTTGTTGTTGCCCGCGACAATGCCACAAAGGCGAATGATACGGCCCACCTATGCTGTTCTGTTTTTGTTGTTGCCCGCGACAATGCCCCATATGCTGTTCTGTTTTTGCTGTTGCCCGCGACAATGCCACAAAGGTGGATGATACGGCCCACCTACGCTGTTCTGGTTTTGTTGTTGCCCGCGACAATGCCACAAAGGTGAAGCAACCAAGCAACCGAACATACTGTAAGCGTAAACAACGCAAACGACAAGGAAGAATTTAAATTGTACATTGAGAAAAAATATTGGCCACACAAACGCGCACACGGACACGTATAGATAAAGAATCTCCTGTCGACGTAGATGTGACCAACTGCTCGTGCATGGAATCTCTTTGTTAACGGAAACCTCTTCAGATGGGATGGACAACTCGCTCCTTGGCCTACCATCCCTTAACATGTATCAATAATGAAATTGTCCGAGTGCGCATCGGAAGTGAAAGTTAGTATCAGTATATGTCTTCGTGTCTCACATGTCTGCAGCCGTCTTGTGCAGTGTGACTTCAACGTCTCGCGCTCATTCTGTCCCGGCCCAATCCTGAGCAGATGCATGTTTCCCTGCGAAGCATGAATAGCCATACCTTGCTTTGGCCCGCTCCAACTGAGGTACTCCTTGACCGCCATGCCAGCTGTGTCTTTGTAAGTGCCTCAGCTCTTCCTTCTGCCTTTCTGATGACATGCACTGTCTTACACCGAGGTTATCGTCTCCTTTGTGGCTGGGTCCTGCCTACCTCGCTCCGCGTTCCTCGTTGGTCTGTGTGCGTGAAAAGGCCATTCTCTTTGACTCTTGTTCTTCCTTTTCTTCATCTTCTTGGGCCCACCCAGGCGAAGTCTTCCTGGCAGATTCTGTTGCTGAGCCGTCCCACGGCTTCTCCATGGTCTCTCTTGATTGCGGCGCAGTTGAAAGCCATTTACTACGACTCGCAAACTCCACCGATCTTCAAGTCAATCCTGGCCTGATCGTTGTGGATTTGGATGCTGTGGGTCCTGTCAGTCCTTGTCGTTCCCTTCCTGCTCCACCGTCAACTTTGCGTGTTGCCAATGGGCCGGGCTGCATTCCTTGGAATTCCTCTTTGTGTCCGTGCTTGTTCCCGACTCTTCCGGTGTGCAAGATGTTGAAGCGCAAGCAGCAGCATGGTGAAAGAAAATCGGCCTTTCTACCATTTGTCCCTGGCTGGCTGTATCGCCCAGTAGCAAATGGAGCGTCTCACCATTGTTGGTGGGCCTCCCATGCCCACCTCACTCAACAGCGCCCAGCCACTGCTATGCGAGAAGCCATGGGTTTGAATTTGCCTTTGGATGTGTTCAGTCCCGTCACTAACACGCAGCACGTTCAGCTGCTGGTCTCTGCGCTTCCACACTGGTATCCTACTGGTCTTCTGGTCTTGCATAAACCTGCCGCTTGCTGCTTGTTGTTCTTACCATCCTGTCCGGCTCAGAAGCTGACTTTCGCTAAAGCTGGTGAGTGGTTCAGCCTTTTCCCTGCAACGCATGCAATGGTATATACGCAGCCAAGCAATGTAAGCGTCGGCCATTATGAGGCGTGCCAAGTCTTGAAGGCGCCACCTTTTCACTCCGTGCGTGCGAATTGTCCGCGTGTGAACTTTTGTTTGAGTTCATCTGCTGTCAATGTATCATGCCCTGTTTCTACTTCTTCGCTGCTTCACATGGCTGGCGGGGCTTTCAGACTGCGCTTTGACAGGTCTATTAGTCTTATTGATTTGGACAGCTGGGAGCCGCGTGGTGACGTCGCAGCATTGCCTTGCCAGTCTGCTTCTGTTCCCATGCCACACTGTGTTGATTTAAGGTCGCTAAGTAGCAGCTCTGAACACCTTGCAGAGCAAGTGCCCGGGTCCCGGCAATGTTTTGCCTCTTTGGTTCCAAGTGGTTCGCTGCAGTGTATCGACTTAAGTTCAGACACTAGCAATTCAGCTTGGCAGCTTGCGGAGCCCGTTCCCGGGTCGCCGCCATTTTGTGGTTCTTCTGTTCCAAGTCACCAACCGCTTTCTTCCGAGCTGTCATTGTCTCCAGATGCATCGCCGCTCCCATGGCAGTCGTTCAAATCTTTTTCACCGTCCCAACTGCAAACACCTCATCCACATGGATGCCTGTCGTGCTCCCCAAGTTCTGTCGATCTGGATTTTGATGTCCCTGATGTCCCTGTTACATGGCTAGATTCTTTGTCTGGGGATTCACTTGCTGCTTCCCACGTATCTTCCTCTCCATTGGGTCAAAACCCTTGCGAGGTTTGCCGTATGTTTGGTTTGTTGGAATGCTTGTGCTTGCGGCAAGTTTCTGTACCGTCGGCCTGGTTGCATGGATGTTCCTGTGTTGGTGTTTATGGGGTTTGTGTTTGCGGTTACATCGACCAGACAGAGCCATTGCGTACTTCTTCAGATGTCAATGGTGCTGTTGCCTCCAGTTCGGCTCCGTTGACACCTCTTCCATGGCAGCCCTCCATTCAGCCACGGTCGCCCCAGTTGTCAAGTCCGTTGCCAATGAAAGAGCTGACCACGCCGTCCCCCACACTGCCATTTAGTTTGGATTTGTCGGTTCCTGCTACTTGGCTCGACCCGTTGAGGCCGGCTTTCTCGTTGTCCCCAGCCTTGTCGCCTGCTTCACTGACACCTTCGTCTAGGCCAGCGGCAGGCGTGAGTGACTGTGACTTGTGCGCGTCATTCTCTTCGTCAGAGTGCTTGTGCCCTCGGTGTAGGGTTTCTCAGTCTCCTTCCATGTCACAAGAAAGAGATACATTGGTTCAGATAGCCAATTCGTCGGGCGAAGGCATTTTGCATGCCTCGGCTTCTAGTTCACTCTTCGTGTCTGCTCCTTGTGGATTTTGCCCCGCCGCCTGCCCACGCTGAGCTTGCAAGCGTGCCAAAGCAAAGCCCATTGCCTTTTTTCCCAAAATGGCTACCTTCCAATCCATTGCCAGATATGCGCGGTGCTGGAAGAGATCGGTCTGGCCCCAGCCCATCGCCACAGAGTCCGCCAAGCTGCGCGTCAGATGAACTGGTCGCACTTCTTTTGTCCTTGGATGTGCCGTTTGCTTTGGCTAAAGAAGCCGCAAGAAGGTTTCCACATGACCTGGATGCTGCTTTGGACTGGGCGTGCAGCTCGGACCGGCGGCACTGCGTTGCCCGCAGCTGCATCGATTTGACGACACCTCCTACCAGCCCGAACGCAGCTTTGGCTGCGGATCCCAATGAGCTGCTCCCGCGAAGTTCATCCGGTTTGACTTATCCGCCAGCTCTTGCGCTGCCTGCATCATGGTGCCTCAGTCCGGATGAGGTCAGGACCAGCACGCCTCCCAACTGGTCCCCTTTGACGCCAGAAGAGGATCTTCCTTCTTCCTCTAATCGTTGCTGTCTGTCCCCAGCTTGCTGCCCAGGCCCGAGCTCAGTCGCTGTTTGTGGCCAGTTAAGTGCACCTGTGGGAGATGATGGTGATTGTGAGGAGGTGGTGTGTCCACTGCCTGGTGCTATGGCCCCTGCTTGTTACGTAGATGATGCAGCAGGTGAGGTCCACGAGTGGTTCTGCGTTTTAGCAAATTCCGAAGGTCGTGCGGCGCTGGATGCCAATGTCTGGGCAAGGATGCCTACGTACACTCAATATGTTCGGTCTCGCACGCTGCAAGAAGTTTTGGCGGAATCTTTGCACCGCATTCAATCGTATCGTGGCCTCGACTTGTCTGTCGAACAAGCAGCTAGAATGCCGCGCTGCCTTGGGTTAACCACCTTACTTCCCCTGTCTGTGGCGTGCGAATACTTGCATTGTGGCTGTGGTCTTCCTGCTATCTTCGCATTTGACCTCTTCCAGGCTTGTTTGGCGTCCTGTCAAAGTAAAGACTTGGAGGTGGCCCTCTATGCTGCTCGATCAGAGAGCTTTGCTTGCAAGGCTCGTTGGTGGGCTTGTCCGACTGGGGATCCAAATGCGGGCAAGTCTCCCACATGTTCCTTTGTGATGAGAGCATTCGCCAAAACGGTTGATTCGTTGCCGCAGGCGCCTTATGCGGACCAACATTGGATTGGTGTTGGGAACAACAATCGCATCCAAAATCGCTTACGAACATTGCAAGGCACTCTTTTGCTTTTCGGGCCGGAATCAAAGCCAATTCTCGACCCGCATTTCCCAACTAAAAAAACTGTCGATACAGCCAAATACCTAGATCTAACTCGGTGGCTGGAAAGTGCAAACGGTGGCAGGTTCGAGTGGGGCACGGGCGCTGAAGAAAATGAAAGGCAGAAGCGAAAAGCAGCTTCCACTACATCTGCCAGTGGTGGAACAGCTCCTCCACTTGTTTTTGACCCGACGAACATCAACATTTGCCTTTTTCAGCAGTTCAGCTTGTTCGAAGAGTGGTGGTGCCAGGTCGAGTCTTTGCATAAGTGCGGGTTCAGCGCGCGGGTTCTCATGACTGCAACAGACCGTGCCATCGTTGACAAAACTGTTGGTTTACAAGATCCGGCGCCCATCGCAGACTTGATGCAACAAATTTGGACTTACGTTGCTGCAAGTCATGGCCCCCAGTCTGCCTTGCCCTTCCGGCAACTGCGGCCGTCTTTGCCAGCTCAAACTGCTGTACGGTCTTTCTATTATGATTTGGCTGAAGAAGACAGAAAAGGGGGATGGGCTTCAGCCATGAAAGCCGCCCTAGGCAAAATGGAATATCACATCCCAACGGCTGCGTGTTTAGCTTCTTTAGCTTCCTGGGGGCTGGTGCCTGGCAACTGCTCTGCAGTCTTAGACGACAATGCTATGAAATGCGCTGCGTATCATTATGCCCTTCGTGTCTGTTTGAGCTGCGCCGTTGTGGATTCAACCGTTGCTAGCTTGCACACAAAGCGCAGATCGCAGGCTTGTCCTGCAACTGCTTCTGCACTTGTTCGCCCAATGGCTGCTCGAGTCTTAGAGGCCTGCACTAAGGACCCCATATTGGAATCACACTTAGCTGCACACTTCTCGCAATTTAAAGGCGCAGAAAAATCGCGAGAGAGACTTGACCTCATGCAAGAGTTGCAGCGCTTAGGGCTAGGAGAAATCAAGGAAGCCAGGCGGAGGCCAAACGGGCAGAACCGAGTTGTGGAGTTTCATCGGTTCCCTTTGTCACTGACAGTGTCTGCCGCACTTCGCCAGCTTGATGTCTCGGAGTGTTTGTGGCCCCTTGCCAGATTGCCTGCAATGCACGGCGCCGGCAAAAGAGCCAGGCCGGCTCCTAAACGGCCTGCAGCTGCGATTGATCCGTGTGCAAAACGGCCAGCGGCTGCTAAGGCCGCGCCTGGCAGGGCACGTCGCCCTCCTCCCAACAATATTGATGTTGCAGCCCCATTTGCACGTGCGCAGCCTGATCCTTTGCATCCAAGAAACCAAGCTGTCGTTCCTGCTGCAAATCCAGCTCACGAGGCTTCAGGTAACCAAGCTGCAGCAAAGAAGAGCGTCTTGTTGCTGGACCCCATCTATGTTCCGGCAGACCCACTCACGGCCAGGGTGGTTGAAGATACTTTAAATGCAGCCCTTCACAGCCAGCATGAGCATATCCATGAGCGGCCTTTCAAAATTAAGGCCGTAGGGACGGCGCGCAAGAGGAAACAAGTTTTCAAGCTCAGGTGTGACATTTGCCAACATCACACCTGCACATGGTTTGGGAAAGCCACCTGGGACAAGTCCAACCAAATGCTCAGCACAACCTACTTAGCAAACGGTGCACATGGCCAGCCCAAAGTTCCGAAAGCACCGTCAGGGCGCAAAGGTGGCGATGCTGCTAACCGGTCCTTCCCCTTGCAAGCGATTTTGCCATACAGTGGTGGGCTTGATCACGGAAGCATTGCCGAGGCGGTGCAGAAACATTTCGAAGATTTGCCCGTGGACGACTCGTTATTAGTCCGATGCAAGCCACGACAAGCCACCAAAAAAGGCCCAACATGCGTGTTCTATTGCCAAACGCATTTCCACAGGGCCACAAAAGCAAAGTGCCAGTGGGGTGGTGCTGGTTGCGTGCACACGCTGGCGGATGGCACATATCAGTTGCACCTGAGGTTCCAAAGGCCGGATGCCCACGCCCCAGATGAAGCACAGCTCTATGGCACTTTGACTTGGCGACAAAGACAGGTTGCCAAAAGGTCTCTAGGGCGCGATGCGGGGGAAATAGTAGAGGCAGTCCACGGCGTCAAAGATGCAGGGGCAGGAATCCCACGGCCTCCTTTGAAACGGGCTGTTCTCTCTGGTTTTTTGCGGCGAGTGAAGCAGAAAATGCAACCTGCTGACCGGGAGGCGCCGATAAACAGCAACAAATCCCACAGCTGCAGTGATTTTGAATGTTGCCAAGACCGTTGCAATGCATCATTGCATCGGGGGCAATGCTGCCTACCGCCAGACAGCCCGGCGTTGCTGCCGTCGGATCCCCGCCTTCGGGTAGTGGACATGCAGTTGTCACCGGAAAATGTTTGCGTTCCAATGATCTGCCCTAAGCTGTTGCATGAAACCTTGTCCTTACTCCCTAAGCCATGGAACTTGAAAGTTTCTACGGACGGAACGTATCGTTTAATGTTCGATTCCTACGTCCTACTGACAATGGGCATCAACGTTAAGAATTGGTCAGCCCAAAAAGACTTGGGGGGCGCTTTTGCGTTCCGCAGTTCCTTTGTGCCTTTGGGTTTTGCCTTGGCGAACAAAGAGAATGAGGAGGCATACGCGCATTTGAGCACCACACTGTTCAAAACTGCGCAAACACTCGGTCATGAGTTGCGGCCGGATCAAATATTGCAGTGGCATGGGGACATGCATCTCGGTATCGAGGCCGCTCGGGCCAAAGTGGCGCCCAATGCCACCAGACTGTCAGATTGGGCTCACGTCACGGGAGCGACCTCCCAGGGCCCTTCTGGACTTTCAGGGTTCCTGACAAAAGAGCTCCCAAACCACTTAAGAGAATCTTTTCTTCCGTGGCTGCTTCAATTTTGTCGCATCTCTAAGCAGTGGCCCGGCTTTCCTCTTCGACATCGTCTGGTCTGCCATATTCTTTGAACTTCAACAGCATTGCCAAAGGGCCATGGTGCGCAGGCTGCAACAGCAATACTTCACCCGTATTGCAATGCCGAATGGTCAACGCCGGTGGTGTGCCCCATGGCGATCAGCGCCCGACAGAATTATGCCTGGCACAGACGCAGGTTCCGCACCGCAAGAGTCATGGCATGGCGCATATCTGAAGCCGGCCTTCGGGCAAGGCAAACGCAAGCCCGCAGAAGTTGCAAGGATCTTGGAGGAGCGCATTGTTGCCCCGCAGCTCCGGGCCTTAAGCACCATGCGCCACGACGGTGTCTTCTTCGAAGATTGGCCTGCCATCGGCCAATTTCTGGACCAAACCATTCTGGGAGGAGATGTTAAATTGAATAAAGAAGGGCGCACGCCTGCCAAGACATTGCTGGCTTGGCGCAAACACCAAAGGTTCGTCGATGAAGACAACAACGTCTGGATGCTGGTTCCGACTTCAAAATTCAAAACAGACTGGGCCAACTCCAAAGGCAAAAAGCGTGTGTACAAAGCACGGTCTCCTTGGCCCGTGCCCCCTGATGCTGTCAAGCACTATGCGGCCATTGTTGCAGCGACCTCTGCGCAGGAAGTGCACGCAGCTTTGTCTGAATTGGATCTATACGACGCCAGCACCAACACTTTCAAGTGTTGGCAAAGCACAGCAAAAGCTTTGGATGATTGGCGCTGTGTTGTGTCTGGGCCGTTTGTTCATACATATTGGCAATCTTATCGCGGCGATGGACTCGACCTGCCAGCTCCCGAGAACAACAAGCACAAGCTTTGGCTTTGCTACGGCTGCCACCCTGCATCTCTTTGGGGGCCGTGTGAGCATGCATATTGTTGCATGGAACACGAGGGCCAGTCTTCCACCACAGTGCTGCCAAAGGCAAAGCCCAAAGGTCGGCCGCGCAAGACCATGGCAGTAATGCGGCCAACTCCGCATCAGATAGTTCCTGGTTCTGACCCAGCCCAGGAACCAGCGCTCCTGCCGCCACAATCTCGTCCGTCCAATGCACCCTCTCCCGAGTACGTGGAATTGGGAAACTTGCTCCGGTCTGCTTCTCTTGGCCATTTGCTGAATCCAATGCGGGAACAAGGAGTCACAATCCCAGCCTTGCGTCGCTTTTCTTTCTCTGATTTCTTCAACCTCTTCAACATGTCGGTTGGCGAGTCTCATGCCCTGATGGAAGCATTGTGCCCTTCTGTCTCTGCACCTTCCCGCCTGGTACCTGAAAGAATCCTGCCCTGTGCTTCTGTCCCTCCATCTTCCGGCGCATCTCGAAGAGTCGTGCCCTCAGTTGATTGTTCATTGCCGAATTGATCTCTGCGTCTTGCTCAATGCCAGCTAGCTTCAGGAAGAGTGTCCTGCAACGGCCAGAACTTCAGTGAACATGTGGCTGCTGCAAAAGTCGTTGGACTTATCCCACACATTGGTGCCGGAAGCTTCTCATTGCTTTTCCCAGTCTAAACTTGAGGATGCAAGCAGTGGAGCATCCAAAAATGTCTGGGCCCAAGAGTTTGACGCTTCAATCTGCTTTGTTTTTTGTTTCTGTAGGTGCAAGTTGTCTGCCATGAGTTTTCTCAGGTGTATTATACACATCATGGTTGCATGTGCAACTTTCCGGGCTTTCTTTGCAGCATCTCCTGTCCAGTCCTGTCTCAAAAGCTTAGGCGGTCTCAGCAGACGTCGTGCTCTTATGGTTCAAACAGCTATCTTTTATGTCAAACATTGTAACATTACGCAGTACAAATGTATCGTATGCTGCATGGTTATTGAAGGCAAAGAAGCCTGCTGCTGCACGTCCTCCGATAGTGGCAGTCTCAAGCTTGACTGCTTGAGCGGTGCGGTCACGACATTGATGCTCATGGCTGGAACGTTTGGCGTCCCTGTCTGTCTACCCCCCATGCGAACTTAGGCCGCTGCCCAGAAGTCGCAGGTTGAAATCTCAGCGCAACGTTTTTCGCATGCATTGTCCTTCGTTCCGTCTTCCATGTTCAATTCATCCCCTCGACCAAGGCCCGAAAGCCGCGCGATGCGCAAACACGAGCAACTTGCTTGCGGTGGTTTGCCTTTGCTGCTTGCTTCCCAGTCTCCCCATCTGATTGAAACTAAGGCTTCCTACCTACGGCTGGCAGACCAAGGCTACCTGGACAAGCCTCTAAGCCTGGTCCCCAAGTTTTGGTGGTATCCCATGGGCCCGTGTGCGGTTCTTGCCACTCAGGTGCGTATCCAAATTCGGGCTGCAAGTGAGAGTCGGGTACTTGGATGGATTCGGAGGTTCGCGGTGCCGTGCGGTGTAGTGTGGTGTTTTTCTCTGTGTTTTCTCGAGGCACAGCCCTGTTCGCGCTATCTGATGCACGGCTGCTGCTGCTCCGGTCAAAAAAGGGTGCTTGCCAGCTTGCCAATGCGTTTGACTGTCTTTTGCACTTTGCTTTCACATCTGCACCGCAACAATACACAAAAGAACGCAACGTAACAAGAGCAGCAGCAGCAGCAGCACCACCACCACCAACCAAAACCAACCAACAACAACCACAACAACAACAACAACAACAACCACAACCAACAACAACAACAACAACAACAACAACAAGAACCAACAACAAGAACCAACAGCAAGAACCAACAACAACAACCACAACCACAACCACAACCACAACAACAACAACAACAACAAACAACAACAACAACAACAACAACAACAACAACAACAACAACAACAACAACAACAACCAACAACCAACAACAACAACAACAACAAACAACAAACAACAAACAACAAACAACAAACAACAAACAACAAACAACAAACAACAAACAACAACCAACAACCAACAACCAACAACCAACAACCAACAACCAACAACCAACAACCAACAACAACAACAACACCATGCAAATCAGAGAGCTTAGCTGCAAAACGCTGCAAATACCAATCAAAACCATCAAACCCCAAAAAACGAGAAAACAAACCCAAAAAAAAACGGGAAAAATTCCCAAAAAAAATTGCAGCCCAAATCAATGTCACTTTGAGGTATCTTGACCTCAAGGAGAACAATATTGGCACAGCTGGCGCTCTCGCCTTGGCGGCCGGGCTGCTGCAAAATCGTGGTCTAAGGAGACTTTGGCTCAGCCAAGCATCCGTGGGCGATGAGGGCCGTCAGGCCCTGGAGGATGCGAAGAAGACGAAGACCGAGCGCGGTGAGGACTTCGAGATCTGGTGGTTCTAGTGGTGAGAAGATGGCTTGGCGGAATCAAAAAGGTGCATCCAACAGGGCGAGCAAAATTTGGTGTGATTGATTTCAAGCAATGAAGCAGTGGAAGGATTTTCATTCCCTGTGCACTTGGGATTTGGAAGTGGCGGTTTGTTTGAAAAATTGAGAAGAACTATTGAAAAACATTCAAATCCAATGGTTGACTATCATGTCCAATGTGTGACCCAATAGTCCCTTCCTCTTATTCCTAAAACTGACCCCCAAATAAAAAGTAATAATACACCTCTAACCGATTTGTTCATGTGGCAGTATTTTGGAATTGAATAGGGGTAACCCCGGAACACCCCAGTAAAAAAGATAGAAAATCCCAACTCCGCCCTCGCAGAAGCTCGAGCAGAAGTTCTGCCTCCGAGCGTTCAGCTCTGGGCGTCAGGCTCTCAGAGGGACCAGTGTCTTCGAATTCTATATAATTTCTATAATTGTTATTAGGGGTTTTTGAGTTTTTTTGAGTACAGTATTAGGGGGAAGGGATTAAACATGATTAAACTGTTTTTTTTGGGTACTCGTCCCCAATTTTGAGACAAACTTGTGGGGTGTGGTGATGAAACCAATTGTTGCACAGCCGAGAGTAGGATCAGGTTTTGTTTTGTCGAAACCTCATCCACCAGTCTGAGGAGTCATGCGGAATTTCAAGGGAATTTCAAGGATGGATGGACCAAAGTTGTTCTTGTTTGAACATACTTTGATGCAACCCCACTTTTACGTCCTTTTACCATTTACCATTTATCCACCTCAAGAAGATGGATGCACAGTAGGCAAACAAAACCACGGTTCAGTCAGTCAATGGGATTTTCCAGCACACCACACTGGGGCGATGGACATTATTCAGTATTGGACAAAGGGTTGGGCCTGGACGAGATCGACAGCTGTCGAAACAAGTAGGTTCAGACACCCGATCCAATACATCGCACTGGGGTGACTGACATTGTTGTGACATACACAATGTCAGAAGAACTGGACAAAGGGTCCTGGATGATCCTGTTGCTTCGTAGGATTCACGATCATGGAGCCTTTGCTCACATAGTCTGTCCTGTCTGTGTAGTTTTCCCCTGTCGTGGATATCTGGTGTCAGTTGCATTGTCCCGTGAGATTGGCCCCTGACATTTAATAGTGGTCGCCAGGAAATGCGCAACTCACCTTGTGGAGCTTGGGATGTTTCACCAGTGCTGGCCTAAGATTTTTGGCGGTGTGAAGATGGCTCTTAAGTTGATCCAAGTGTGAGATCAGTTCGGGGGACAGTTGCCTTCCGACCTTTGCAAAGCAGAATCCGACTGCTGGATTTTGAGACGCGACGTGTTCCTTCTTGGGTCATTCGAAATCATTTAGGGATCCTTGAGGTTCGCAGAGAAAAGTTTCGACATGGCGAGCAGCCAGAAGCAGGTGCATTGCCAAGTCACAGTCCGAGGTGCAGCTGACCATTGGTGGCCGGAGTTTCTCCCGAAATTTGGAGGAAGACAGGGAACAGACCAACAGCAATTTTTGTCGAAACTCATCATCTAAAAGCTAAAAATATACTACACATTTGCAAAGAACACATCTCCCACAAACTGGATGATTTTCATTATTGGATGATTTTCTTTGTCGGCTCAAGTCTGTTTCAAGTCAATCGCGCTAAGCTAACGGGAGCCATGCAGATGATTCTCCTGCTGTCCGTGGTCTGTGGTGCCTCCGGTTTCACACTGGAGATGCCGGAACTCCCAGATCTGATTGGCACCGTGGGAAAAGTCTTCGGTGGAAATTTCACGTTGAAAATGGTGGAGGAACCAAAGGTGTTCCTTCCCAAGGTCTCGCAGATTGAGAGCATGACACGAGAAGAAAGCATGGAACGCTTTCATTGGTTCTTTTGTGTCTACGTCTTGATTTTCCTTGGCGTTACACTTCTGGGAAGTGTCATCATGGTCGTCGGGCCTATCTTGAAGAGCATGGCATTTGCTTCCTCGGATGACCCAGATTCGGCGGAGTCCTCTGAGCTGCTATCCTCAGATTCAGAGGGGGGGCCGGTAGAGTGTGGTGGTTATGACGCCTCCCTCAGGCTGTCGGCTTCCTCCTCAGATTCGGCGGAGTCTTCTGAGCTGCTATCCTCAGAGGCCTGCAATTTGAGCGTGAGTTCCTATGAAGCCTTGGGACCAACTTTCGGTGCTTTGAGCTTGTGGGCTCAGCAGTGTTTGGTCTTACTGAGGTTTGGAGTCACTGTGAGTTTAAGCCTGGTAGCATCTCTGTGGAGCATGAAGACGGGAAGGCTGTCCAAAGTGACAGGCCTTGATTGGGAAGTCTACTTGATTTTATTTTGCTGTGTTGGTTTGTCACTCCTGGTCCAAGCAGTCTGGGCCGTAGCACGGCTCAAGCCCGGCGATCGCTTTGATTCAACGGCGTTTGCTGTCAGTGCTTTTACATCCATGGCTCCGATTATCTCCGATTTTTACGACACACTGAAGGATGTGATTTTTGGGGCTCTATGTCTGCAGTCCGAGCACCTGATGATCCAGATCCTCGGGGTGGTGAGTTGGTTGTATTTATTCTTGTTTCATGCTTGGTTCCTGCTGGTGGGATGTGACGTCGACATGTTCATGCGCCGGACAGAATGCCTCATCTGCATGATGTGCCTTTTATTCCTCTTTGGAGGTCGCCCAGAAATTCTCGGTAGGCATTGCTTCGCTGAGCTGGCTTCAAGCCACCTGTCTGTCCTTCTGACCTCGCCAAAAGTGCCAGGGGAGTGGTCTGGAGGCTGCACAGCTACAGGCTGCTGGGAAGGGACGATCCTTCCAATACTTTACAAACAGCTCACTCCCAGCAAGCGAGAGTATTTGTTGATCGAAAATTTGCCCCAAGCAGTGTTCTCTGTTCTTTTTTTGCTGGTTGAGGGTGGTTCATTCTTCGTTGGTGTTTTGAATCTCCTGGTGCCGGGGATGCAAATTCTGTTGACATTTTTTTGTTTTGAGTCGGTGCTGTCTGCTGCTGCACCAGCACTGGGCAAAAAGCTGAACCGAGCGATGCGCAACGGTGATATGGTCGCTGCCGACCTTTTGTGGGAGGAGGCGGAGCTGG